AGTGCCATCTGAAAACACGTCAGACTAATGTCAACATCACAAATGGGAATGCCAAGAGAGGGACTTAAGTGGAGCAAGAAGGATGAAAATGTAGAGCCGCTCTACCGCATACTTCAAGGTAATTGCTAGCTCATACAAGAAGGAGAGAGATGTGAGAGAAAGGACAGATGTGACAGTGGTGGTTAAAATGCCGTCAGCTCTTATCCAAAGTTTCATGATTAAATTTCAGTCTTAACATGCTAAGCAGACAATCCCAGAAACAAAAAGCCAAGAGTTTTGAAGCTAGTTAAAACCAAACACACTCTTGCCTTACAACGACCTGAGTTTGAAACCATAATCTACACAAGGAGCTGGGCATGGTGGCACATAGATTACAGGGCTGTATTCCTAGCAGTAGGGAGGGAGAGAGAAGAAGGTCCCTTGAGCTTGCTGGCTAATGGGTCTTGCCCAACTGGTTAGCTCCAGGTTCAGTGAAAGATCTTTTCTCAGCAACATAAAGTGGAGAGCAGTAAAGGAAGACACTTCACATCGACCTCTGACCTTCACATACCATTCACCAGACACATACAGAGAAATCCCATTTTTAGTAATTTCTATTGTAGTTCATTATTTAAATTATGGTATCTCATCGGGAATCTTTGCTGCTGCTTTCTTACTATGCCAGATTCATGACTGAAGCTTTAGTGCATGTATATATCGGTAAGAAACTAGAGGGGAGGTGCAGTGTAGCTCAGTCTCTGTGTATCCTGTGGTTCCAGGCATCACTGGGGTCTTTAGGTCACATACCTCTAGGGATGATGGCCAGTTAGTACATTTACACAGATTAGACAGTAGTACACGGCCATGACGCCATGGCTGTGCTGCAGTCATTTTATTTTTAGTTACATGTGTCTGTGTGTCGATATGTGCATGTGTGAAGCCGCTGCCCATGGTGCCCTGAAGAAGGTTGTCAGATCTGCTGAGCTTCAGCGGTTATGTGCTCTCCCACATGGAATTCAGTGCTAATTCAAGTTTTCTACAAGAGCCGTATACCCTTTAAATCGCTGAGCCATCTCTCCAGGCCACTGCAGACTCATCCTTTGTTATGTTTGGGATTTCTTGCCAGCTCTTCAAACACAGAGCAGAAGGTCTCTCTTTGTCCCTGGCAACCAACACCAGAAGGGTAATTTTGCAAGGCTGAAAAAATATCTATTCCTTCTTGCATATTGAACAATATCATCTTAAGAAAGAGCTCTCAGGTTTTTTTTTTACCCTTGCATTTCAAAATAAATTGTTCATTCCCTATTTCTGTTTTTACTGAGAATTAATACCTGGTTGATTGGCAATGAGTTCAGACCAGAAATCAGACTGATCTTTCTTCTTTTCTTCTTTTTGGTGAACTTTTCAAATCTTCCTTTTAAAAATATACCGATGATATAAAGTGTAATTAATAAAAATTAAAATCAAAAAATCAAAAAAAAGAAAAATATACCGATGAGTATGTATGTCATGTCTAAGTCATATCTTCAAGATAGTATAGGTAACAATATACCTGTGTCTATAGTGCATAGACCAAATCTGGACCATTGCCTGTGTCTGTAAATAAAGTTCTATTGAAAGGCAGTCAGGTTCCTTCACCTATCTACTGTCAAATGTTGCCTTTTAGCTGTGTCAGGGCAGTTGAGTAATTGCATAGAGATAAGGGAGCCCATAAAACCTAACGACAAGGACCTTCATCACTAAGTATGTCCACAGATAGCCAACTACGTTATACACCTATGACACCTATGAAAATTTCCTTCTGAATACCATTAATTTACTCATTTTTAACCAAATGGAACCATTAATCAGCTCGTTCATTCATCAGTCAACCAATTTATCTGCTCCTAGCACATGGATGAAATAGGGATGAGAGATCTGGGGAGAAACAGACTAACAGAATGCCACGTAATGACGCACCAAGAAGAGAAAGTAGTAAAAAGGAAGACAGGACTGTGTTAGGCTGAGAGGCAGACAGGATCTCGGCTAGAACACAGTTTGGGCACTTATGATTGTTCAAACAGTATTAGCTATTTAAATAATGATGTGGAAAATCTCTGAGCTACAGTATGCTAACATGATTTCACAAAGACACAGTCTGGCTCTTCAGTAAGATCAAGTGTTGAGATGGTTTGAGATCAGAAGGGCTGATTACCTTCAAGCGCTGGGTAGTAAAGCCACCCAGCTTTTTTCCAAACTACAGGAATTAGGTGACCTCAGAGTTTGGAGAGGATATTTGAGGAAGGTATTTTATTTGGCGTCTAACTGAACTCAATGACCCCAAGAACCAACTGTCTTATTCCCCCAAATTTCACTGCTCTTTGTTGAGCCTTATAACTGGAAAATCCATCTTCATGTGTGAGCAGAAAAGAAATGCTCACTTAATAAATAATCAATGTAATGAGTGAGTGTGCTTGTTCCCTTGGCTGTCTGATCAATGGCAGTGGAGGAAGCGAATACTATCGACAAGAAGTGTAGAAGTTAGGTTTAACTGGTTAAGTAAGCATAAATTACATTTAAAAATATGTTCTCTTTGTTTTTGTTGGCACACTGAATGCTTACCTCTTTAGTAATGGTTGAAAACCAAAGGAAAAAAATTAACAACCTAAACATCCAAGTAAGATTATACTGAACAATTCAATGTGGCCAATTTATTTTTCATTAAACAACATTCACTGTGATTACCACATACCTGGACACAGGCTACAGGCTCCATAAATTAGGCATCTGTGCATTAAAGAATGTTTATTTAAAATATGTCCTTACTTTTGTGGTTTAAAATTGACATTTTATTTCTATATCCTTGCACTTAAATATTTAAACACTTCTATAATATGGTAGAAGAAAGGTCAAAATGGTCATTTATTAAAACAATTTTGTGAAGAAGAAAATTGCATCATTTTGGAAGGAGGAGCACACACGTATATTTTAAATTCAGCAAAAAATAAATTGACCTTTTATTCAACCGAAAAAGGTGGCTGCATGGTTAGAACCCCTCATGATTAATGCTATTGTGGGGACTCTCCTCGCTAGTGAAGAGACAATTCATCCCAGCATCAGGACACGTTCTCTTTGCTAAGCTGTATTTAAATGGTAAAATGGAAAAAAAAAATGCTTGATGGATATTTTTTTAAGAGGGTAATCAATGGCTTTCTGGGTTAGACACCACTAAATTATTTTTTGTTTGTTTTCACTACAGAGTCTGTATCTATATAGTTCTGAATACTTTTTAAAAACCTACATGAAAAGAAAATCTACAACTAAATTTCTTCTTGCCTCTTTACAAATGGCCAAGAAATCCAGTGGGACATGACCATACTCCCTTTTTTATCACTCCTGTACTTATGTTTCTCAGGTCCTTGTTTACTTGTGAAGTCATAGTACTTTCTTACAAAAATTAGTGTCAGATAAAAATGTCAGGATAATAACTACTTTCAGAATAAACACCACAGATAGCATATAATTAAGATGAGGAGAAAAAAAACCTCAAAATATTATTGAATACATATTACTTTAATTTTTCTCTTGATGGACTTTCAGATTATCTCAAAATGATCTATTAAAAATCTTGTGAAGATCTATTCAAACTGCAGACACCTAGGGATGCAGGAGGGGGAAATGGGTCATGTAAAATTGGTTAAGTGAGTTCTCTCTCCACTCAGTGTCTATGTCAGCAACATGGAAAAACAGTCTCCAGACTGCATTCTGCAGCTACACTTTCTTCTGCAGAAAAATAAACAAACAAACAAACAAACAAATGATGCTTTTTAGACACTGGGAAACGAAAGGGTAGGGTGGGGGCAGTTAAATTCAATCCCTGAGCACCATCAGACTGGGTTTTTCAAAAGACAAAAATAGCCTAGAAAAAAATATTTTCATAATAAAAATTTCATATATATATGTATATATACATATATATATGAAATATATATATATACATATATATATACACACACTAAATCTGGAATCTTGTCTATCTTATTTTAAACAAGCCGGCAATTTCAAGCTTCAATCTGTTTGGATAGAAAAGAATTTATGTAAATGTTTTGTTCAAGCCCAAAAGGGAAAGAGAGTATAAAATATACAGTGTATAAAAGATGCATGCCTAACACCAAAACAGCTTGCTACACAGGGGACCAAAAAAAAAAGAGCCATCTGCCCTTCTGCTGGGCATGCCCAGCAGTCCTGAAGCTTGAATATATTGCTTTTTGCTACATGGTTTCTATGACCCCAACAGTAAGAGATTAACCAAAATTTCATAACTGCTCTGGTCTCCTCCTCTCCTGGCTCTTGAGGCTGAAGGGCAGAAGGGAGAGAAGGAGAAGGTCAAATAACAAACAGAAATAACAACAACAAAAAAATCTGTATTTTTGCACTCTTTCCCTTCACTTGAGATGGAAAAAAAAAAAAAAAAAAAACTTAGGCAGATCAATCTGTACAATGCTAAACCAAATCTCTTTAATTCCAGTCAGCTTTTATCATTCAGTCGCTGAGTCTCAGTGTGGAAAAATTCATGCTAATTCCCCTTAGCAACAGCCTCCGCCTATCAGGAGACTTTATGTACCGTGCAGCTGCCTGCCAGAATAACTCTAAGTAGGTCAGGCCTGTATTTCTAAAAATGCTACGGTCTAGTAACCCCACTGTCCCGTCTGTCTGCCCTGCCCCATAATAACCTCAATTGCTTGGTGACACAATGACATACTATCCTGTTAGAGCGCAATCACATCATGCTACATTATTCTGCACGAGCATGGCTGGGTGAAGGACCCTCGGAGGGGCAGCATTAATCAGACAGCCATTCATGTCCACCAGCATTTCACTCTAGAAATGGGGACTGCATTAATGACCAGCTGTTTGAACTAACACAAACAAAATAATGTCTTCCACCCTGTTGGGTGCGGAGAATACAGCATTTTGATCTGGCAGGTTCCACTCCTTCACTAAATCGAAGATGTAAATTAACTGGGCTCAGACAACATAGGCTTTGGCAACCTTAAAGTGAGTATATTTAAATTATATTACATGCGATTCTAAAAGCTATTGATTTAATATTCGGGGCTCTCCTTGCCTACAATTTCCCCTAATCCACATTTTAACAAGGAAAGTGCATGCATGGGTAACGTAATACATATGTGCTTATTGCCCGGGGACTCAACTGCAGAGGCTGGACTAAAATTGACTTCACTTCGGGCAGAGAAACAAAGCCGGTCAGGAGTAATTGTGCAGCATGAACACAAATACAAATACTAAATGCATGCCGTGAAGGAGCACTGAAAACAAATAAGAGTAAACACCCCAGCCCGCCGGCCAATCAGCTCCTCCCACCAGCTCTTCATGGAGGCTGCAGAGAGCTCCAGCACCTCCAGACGCCAGAGACGAGGGAGAGAAGTGAAGGTGCCCTTCAACTCTCAGTGACAGTGCCATGACGTCCGCCCCACAGGATAACCAGCAGGGTACTTCGGGCTTTGGGACAACAAAAGCTTCTTCGAGGTATAAATCGAGAACACCAGAACGACTCAGAAACGGCAGTCAATATTTAATTCTATGGTGGGGATTTTAGAATTTAACGGGGCGTATCTACTTGTGTGTGCTTTTAGCTTTCCTCCACCGACGTTCACAAACATAAACAGTGGTGGGTGTACACCGGGACAGGAACCCGGCAGCGAAGTATGGGGCTGTTCGGGACGCTGTCTTACAGTGACAGAGCTTGTGTACTCAGTCTGCACGCTTATGGGGTTCACCGTTTCGTGGCATAAACACACTCCCTCCGACACACTGATCATGCTGCCAGAAGTTAGGCAGAATCCAGCCCATGAGCTGTGAGCCCCACCCACACTGGATTTTCAAGCAGAAAGTGCCTTCGTGCCTCTGCCCTTGTTTGAACTATGCTTGATAACTTAGTTATGCTGTCTTCTGCACTCTGTGGCACACATCACAGTTATTCTTGGAGAGATACAGTCTCTGACGCAACCATGAACCACTAATTACAAGCTGCTGACATTCTGCTTGTCTCTGCAGCTTTGAAGTTCTGCTTTGTCTTAGGGCTCTTTCACTATGCTCCCGGTCCCTTACCCTCTCTTTTCTCTCTTTCACTTCACAGCCCTTCTGAATCCCCTCTAGCACAACTTGGAGAAAGAAGAAGGAATTATCAGACTTGCTTTGGTTTCTTTCCTCTCCCCAACCATACCCGACTCTCTCTCTCTCTCTCCATAGATCTACAGTTTGGAAGTACAGTAATAAGATCCTGCCTCGGCCCCACCCTCAGGAATGCACCAACAGCTGGCCAAACATAATCCAGCACACAGAGCCGCTTTGTAGAATTCCTAACAAACAGTGGGTGGACAGGCCAGACAGGAGTCCCAGGGGAGCCCCCATGACAACTGGGAAAGCTGCTTGCTCCCAGCTCAGACCTCAGTCCACCCAGAGCACTCTTATCAATCTCTTCTAGTACCCGCCCAGCCCTGACAGAGGCTATGGAGAGGCCACCCGCCTCCTATAGCAGCAAGCAGACTGCAAGCTTTCTTCGCACTGACATCAGCCAGGCTCTGCCTCATGTCACACACTCCTGGAAACTCGACAGCAACCACCCCCAAACCCATGACCAGCAGCAGCACCTGTACTTCCCCATCTAGCCCTGTGTCAGGAGGACCCTCCCTCTTCCTTAAAGAATTTCCTTTATTAAGCAAAGCTGATCCTAGCATTTGAAAGCGTGTAAATCGAGCACTGTGCTCATCTCCACTGACCACTTAGCTTCTAAAGCCTGTGGTATCCAGCTGGCCCCAGAGTCATCTGGGATACATTCATTTTGATTAAATCGATCACATTTCTATTTAAGGGACAGAATTTTTTTTTCTCTGCCATGCTGAATACAGCTGTATTTACAGGGCTCTCTGTAGGAGAAAAAGAAAACAAAACCTCACAGTGAGTCTTAGCCCAACGCTGAGCACTCAAGGAGTTAAAACTGAATAGGCTTGCTCTGCCATTAGAAAGAAAAGTCTACATGCAGCTGCTCTGGCCAAGCTTTCTGGCTAGCCAGGAAATGGGTGTTGAGCAGGAGTTAAAAATACTGGCTGTAATCAAGCCCGACCCAGCAAAGTGCCTGTGTGTGTGTGTGTGTGTGTGTGTGTGTGTGTGTGTGTTTCACACACTCTTTTCCATGTCTCTACAGGCATGCACATGCACTTAAATCCTCCATGCCGCAAGGTTGCTATTTTTCTGTGGGGACACTGTATAGTCACCCAGCCCATCAGTTTCTTCCTTGACGGTACCAGGGACATTTACCCTGCCGTTTACAGTTCCTCCATGCATGTGCTGGCGTCTACATCACGCCATCCTCCCTTAAACTAAGGCTGCAGAGCCAGCAGCAATCTCACGACACTCAGCAGCGTCTCTTCCTTTCCCTTTGCCTTCCTCCAGCTTTGCCCTGCCAGGCAGACACAGCAGGTACCTGGTTCATCCGTGTTCAGTCCCACTCTCTGGGAGAATGCCACCACATCCAGGCCTGGGTTGTCCCCTCGGACTAATCCCAGAGAGCAGCCGGAGCTGGGGGCGTGAGGCAGGGCTGCGGCTGCCCTCGCCCTGCATGCTTTGCTTCGGTGGGCATTGATATATAGTATTCCTAGATTTCCCTTCCCAGTTCTTTGCATGCCCCTAGCATCCCACCCCATCTTCTGCAACTTCACCCTGTCTTCCAAGACCCCCATCCAGCCATGAAGAGACCCTGGCCAGAGCGTGTAGTAGGTCCTTCTTCCGCAGGGTGCAGACAGGCGATTCCAGGGTTCTGGGCGAACGATGGGCCATCTCAGGCGGGAGTCAGAGGGAACCATGCAGGCGAGCCAGGCGACGCTTGGTGTGCCCACAGTGATGCAGCTCTGGAGCTGTGAAGAAGACAGTCTGGCTTCAGAATTTTCAAAAAAAAAAAAAAAAAAAGAAAAGAAAAAAGAAAAAAAGAAAAAGAAAAAAGAAAGAAAGAAAACAGCGCAGCTCGGCGCCGGCGGGGTTGGAAAAAAAAAAAAATACAGACACAAACCAGAAAAAGCAATAGCTAAAATCAAATTTCAAAACAAAAATAGGAATACAGAGATCAGCATACTTGATGCGACTTTTATTTCTGACGTTTTCTTGGTTTATTGGCTTCCCCACCCCCTCCAAAAACTCCCCAGTCCCTGAACGCCCGTCTGTCCACGAGTGCCGAGTCTCAAATGCGGTTGCTCTACAGTGCCGCAGACCTACAATCACATGAGGAAGCACATGACGAGCCGGAGTCGGCTGCTGCTGTGGTCAACTGTTCCGCCGAGGCAGAAGGGGGGTAGGAGGCAGTGCCCCTCTCACGCTGCCAGGAAGAAATTTCCTTAAAAGAACAATGGGAGGGCGGCATCTCAGAAGAAATGCTTGAGTAACGTGGACTTTTCCATACGCACGCTGATGGAGAGGGACCGTGAGTACTTGAAGACAAGGGAAGGGTGCTGTACCGCAGACACAAGCTGGATGGCAGCAATATTATTTCTTGTGTGTACTCGTCAAAGCTGATTCCGTTGAAGTGGATTCCTGAAAAGCACATACCATGTCTTCCGAGCATGATCAGGCTTGGAAAACCAATTCTATTATCTCTCCTTGCAATCTGTATCTGAACCTGCATTGTGAATAATTTATTTTTAGACTAATAAGAGGCTTGCCAAGACTGCACCCTTTCTATGGCAAGTGGCGCATGTAGTATTCCACACACGAGGGAAAGCCTTGCCCCTTTGTAGGGAGAAGAGAAGAGACAGATTTTGTTGTTTAAAAAAATAAATAAATAAACCGATTGCGATTTCTTATTTAAAGGCACACAGACAGCAGAGATGTTTCCTCAGAGGTCATTATTCAGAACAAGGGAGGCGTTTCTGTTTCTTTGAATTGACAGATCTCTGGTTTGCAAGTTGCCTTCTCATGCTGGCATCGCACGCTGGCAAATGAGACTGATGTTTTTCTAACACTGGCCAAAGCCCTTGAGCCACTTAGATATTTTTATGTTGCAGCAAAATGACAACCAAAAACTGCTTCCCAGAGCACCCTTCTGCAAAAGTGCTGAGTGTCTACCAGCATTTCCCTATGGAGGACACACAGGAGAGAGATGACCTCGGGGTCTGCGGGTGATGCCACTCATCCCAAAACTAAGCAAGTTGCCAATGTGGGCCCTCTCAAAATGTAAAAAGTACACTATTAAAAATAATTAAAAAAGAATATGATCGTACTGGCTGATCAAAATGAGAGAATTGTCAATAGGTGAGAAACCTGTCTACCTCCTATGTCATTTGACTGTTGTTAACCATGCAAGAGGATTATCAGTTCCCTGGTGAAGTACACATCAGCCTTCTCCTGTGTACATGTGTAAAGGGCTATTCCAGACCTGGGAATTATGCAGAACAAGACAGGCATGTCCTCAAGGTAGCAATTACATGTCTTCTTTTCCTTCCAAGAGAACTTCTTACCAGTCTGATTACTGCACAGTCAATCCAGGAAGACTTGGCACCCATGCTTTTCTCTCCACCACCCACCATAGATCTTTCTTGACAAGTGGCCCTTGAATCGCAGATTCTTCTCCATTCCATTAGAGTCACTCCTTTTTAACTCAGTTTACTCGCAAACCATTGCCTCTGAACTGCTGTGTTTGCATCATCCAACACCGTGGTCTACATGCTCAAGACAGCTCTCCACCGAACACCAAGGCTGGGCCCTGATTTCTTCATCTCCCTGTGCTGCCAGTCCCCAGTATTATCTGCTTGTATAAGGATTTAAACAAGCTGGTCTACTTTGTGTATATCCTTCGTTGAGTAACAAACAAAAATTTGTTTTGTTTTGTTAATCACTGTGGAACAATGGCATGTGAGCACTCTCCCGCCCTCAGGAAATACACCAACAGGGCCTGCACCTCATTTTCTGTTGGCACTAAGCTTGTATTATGGCATCTATTCTTGGGTTTTATTCCTCATAAAAAATAATAAATGGGTCTAAATTTGCCTGATAGCTGTGGATCAGGGAAGAAGTGCTATGGAAAAACTGAAAGAGGAAAATGGCTTCTATATAAACACCTGGAAAGGTGCCTCGGGGTCCCAATTTGCAGTGAAATCTGAAATTCCGGGCCAGAGGCTGGGCTGAATGGTAAAGTATCAACACCAGCAAATTGATCACTGAAAATGAGCACTTGTTATGCCCCAGAGTCTAGAGAAAGCACTGGAGATCTATTACCTCATTTAATCTTAGCAATTCTACAAGCAAAGAATTTTAAAAATAAATCATTTTAATGAAATAGAAAAAGAAGCAGGTGCAAAGTATAAATACACCCAAAAGTGACCAAAAGGACACACTTGGTCTTAGCAAGCTAGCTACAGAAGTGGGACTAGACCAAGGAGAGCCCCATCCTAATGCTTTTGTCCCCCCCCACCCCTCTAACTGTGAAGAAAACAGCCTATAAGATAACATATCTGAGAGTCAAAACCAGGAGTGATGGAAAGGCTGGGGTCAGATAAATGGAGAGCAGGATAGCTCCTTTTCTGTTATGTCACTAAGCTGGATATGGGTGACACTACTCAAAGCAAGTGCTGAGAATGTACAAAAGCATGGCTTACAAAGCTGATGGTGCTGTCATATACTTTATGTTTCAATTCCTGGAATTAGTCTTTGCCTGTAAGGGGAGGAAATGGCCTCTGAACTCTGCTGGTGCTGGGGTAGAAGATGAGATGGATTCTGGGGGCCTTAGGTTGGCTGTTGGCTAGAAGAATGCTTCTCTTTTCTGTCTTGAGAGGAGGTTTTGCGGTGGAGCCCTGGCTGGCTTAGTGCTCACTCTGGGATCCAGCACACCGTGCTAGATTCAAGCACACCGTGCTCATGCTTCAGTACCCCCTCCTAAAATGACAGATGTGCAGCACAAGCCCGGCTCTAGGTATAACTTTCAAGATAATCAGTGTGTTGGGTGGCTTGGTGTCAACTTGAGACAAGCTGTAGTGCGGTGGGAAGAGGGAACCTCAGTTGAGAAAAATGTCCCCATTAGATTGGCCTGTGGGCAAGCGTGTGGTACAGTTTCCTTGTTACTGACTGATGCAGAAGGGCGTAGCTTGTTGTGGAAGGTGGCATTTGAGCAGACAGTCCTGAGATGCATAAGAAGGGAGGCTGAAAAATCCACTAGGCCCAAGCTAATAAACAGTGTTGCCTCATGGCTTCTGCTTCAGATACTGCCGATAGCTTCCTACCTTAGTTCCTGACCTGACTTTGCTCATTAATAAACTGTGGTGTGGAACTGTAAGCTGAAATGAACCCTTATCTCCCCAGATTACTTAAGGTCATGGTGTTTTGTTTTGTTTTGTTTTGTTTTGGTTTGGTTTGGTTTGGTTTGGTTTGGTTTGGTTTGGTTTGGTTTGGTTTGGTTTTCCACAGCAATAGAAATCATAACTAACATGGACGTGAACAAAAGAAGTAATGCCACTACATGGAATAGAATGGATGTCCTATTTCACTGGCATCTGAGAGGCTTTGGTGGGTTGGTTTCCATCGTGACTATTAGAACTAGAGAAACATTTTCTATGCCCTCTCTTGCACTCTACCTCTGGCTGGTTTCTCATGCTACCTGCTTGACCCATAACTGTACACTTCAGCTGCTTCTTTCTATCAAGGTTACTCTTGCTGTGTCCTGCTTTGGCTACAGGCCTATGCTTCTTGTCTCCTTCCTAATTGGTAGGCTATGTTTATCAAGGGGATAAGTGTGCTATAGGCATCAACACTCACATGCATATGTATAGGGAAAAGGGGAAAACCACAGGAGTTAATCAGCATTCTTGCACAACTGTAGCTCACTAGAATACTAAATTAATGAAGGTACCTCGTTTCTTGGACAGTTAATGAAGGTTAATATGACATACTGCCTCTGGCCCTGGAAGTGAAAAGGGATGTTATTGCCTCATATTATACCTGGGGGGAGGGGAGTGTTAATAATCTTTCTCATCAGCAGTAAAGCACTGAGCTTTTAATACCCAAATAGATTTTAGCAGAAGCGTAGTAGATCACCTCTAAACAGGCTTCAAGAGCAATTTGGGATAACCAGGACACTACAGAATCAGATTATATTGTAGGGCAAAGCGTTGTTTAAAAATACAGTGAAATCTGAATTTATGCTCATCTATTTTTGTTTCCATCAGTTCGGGTAATTCTAGTAATCTAAATATACTAACAAGAATATCCAATCTTGAAAAAAAATGACTTTGAGTAACCAGCAAGGTAACTGTTTAATTCCCGTTCTCTCTCCCCCACCTTACACACACACACACACACACACACACACACACACACACACACACATACACACACACACATATCACCTAGGGTGGTGTATTATACTTAGAAGAGGGGGAGGAATAAGGGGGAGTTTTCAAGGCCTCAAAAGCTTCTCTGAGTTAGGGAAAAAAAAAAATGGTTCCTTCTCTTTGACCAAATAGGAGTGCTTGCATTTAATAGCAATGAAATTATCAGTAGCTAATAATAATAAAACAACTTTTCTAAAAATTATGTATGCTTCTGAAAGGAGGCTAACCCACCTCAGCCACTCTGAAGTCCTACCATGAAAGACAGAGCCTGGATAAGACTATTATTCAGTGGCCGCTGTGCTGTGTCATTGCAATCCTGGGAAACAGCAACATAGAGCAAGGGAGACGTTTGTTTACTAGGTGGTTAGAAGAATTAAAATTGTATGCTTTGTTTCCTAGCCTCCCCAACATGGTTGCTGAATTAAGATTAGTGCTTCACAAAGCTGACTGACCAAGTGACTAATTGCTGGCTGCTGGCGGAGGACAGACTTCCCCTCTGTCAGGTCCCCAATACTGCTACCTAGTTCCATTTCACAGAGGCCAAATGCCAAGTTTAAGGTAGATGGACTGTGTTTGTTCACCTGTGAGTGGTTTGACCTTAGACTTCACAGAGCACCGTCAGGAAGTCGGTTTTTCCATGCTCTTTACAGTAAACAAAGACAGTGTGGCCGGGCTCCAAATGTTACAGAAGGTCACCGACCAAACTGCCGCCTAGACAAAGACTGCTTCCAGAAATTGAAACACAAAATAGATGTAAGCACCATCAACATTCCAAACTGTGCTCCTGTTCATTCTCAGTGTTTGCCTCAGTGTCACACATATCCAGCATAGATGCATAAAAGACAGAGAATCATAAAACCCCAGGTGCTGGAAAGCACCTCAAAGGTCATCTGGTGTACCTGCAAATCTAAACTGTGAATACTGCCCTTTAAATATCTTCTCCCTGTAATCTCCCCAGCTTGGGGGAACCCCTCCAGTGACTGAAAAACATGGGGCCCTGGCAGAGATATGAGCACTTTTGTCTTTTGCATGAAGTAATAGGGTATTTGCAAGCCTCAGTTCCATGGTAAAGGGAGCTATGCACCTTCTGACTATGGACTCTAAATTAAGATTCTGAAAGGCTCATCTCTACTGCAGCCACCAGTTACCACAGGACAATCTGCCACTACCCACCCAGAGACCCCCTGTTCCACCTGTAAGTCTTTCCCCTGTGACTTCATGTCTACTCAATCTTCCCTTTCCAGACGAAGAATACATTATGAATTTCAGTAGTTGTGATAATTAATCTCAACCGTCACTTGATTATATTGAGAAGCTCTTAGAAGATAAGTTAAGGTCAGCTCTGGGTGTGTGGGTTAGGATTTTTCAAGAGAGAATTAAAGGAGAGGGAAAGATCAGTCGTTTGTACAAATAGCACCAGCCCAAAGCCTGGGACCAGATGGAATGGGAACTCTCTCCGCCCTATGGCTGCTTGAATGTGAGCCGCTCTTCTCTGCCACAACCTGTCTGCCGTGATGGACTAAAGCTTCTGAAACCATAAACTAAATTAGCCCTTTCTCAAGTTGCTTTCTTGGGTACTTTGTTGCAGTTTCCCAGAGTCTAATTGACACCACCATGCTTTAAGCAATGGGTCACAGGGAACAGATTATGTGGTCCATCGGCACAGCCACTCCAGGGCGACGGTCCCATCGCTTCTCTCATTTCAACAGAACATATTTCAACTATTGTAGTCTCACGCCCTCCTTCTTAGTAGAATATTAGATTGATGGCCTTTGCTGTATCTGACCTTTCACCTAAGTTACACAGAGACCATCTTTAGACATTGTCTTTGTGTATTAACTTTTTTTAAAAAATTACTTCCAATAATTAGACTCTATGGTATTTAAAAATGAATATTCAAAGGGAGAAAAATAGTGAGCTATCTTGAAGGGAATGCAAATGAACTTGTAAGAAACAATGTTCTGGAGGGCCTGTGTTTCACAAGACAGTGACCACGCCTTTTGTTGACTCTTGTATCACAGCCTTACTGCATGGGATACATAAAACAGCCCCACCTGGTGGGGAAAGTGCTAGACAAGAAGCCAGAGCTCTGGGTCCCAGCACCTGCTTGCTACAAACTCTATCTATCTCTCTGCTACCAAACCATAGGCAGGTCGATTATCCCTCTGGAAGTTCATCCTTTCTCAACTTCAAAGGGAGAGCCTTAACAATGGGTATCCTATGCCTCACAACATTTCAAGTTTGTTTCTCGAGAGTTTTAATGAAATCTTAAATATTCTTTAATCTAACATGATAAAATAATAACCCATTGGTTCATTTTCCCACAGAATTTCATCAACATTGGATAAATTCCACATTAACTCGTGTCTCCAAACAAGTAAGTAAATGTTACACTTATGAATCAGAAGAGAATTGCTTCACTTTTTTATATGTCAATTAGGTAAATTAAGTAGATCTGACTAGGGCTCCTAGAATCTTTATTCTCTAGTAAAATAACAGTTTTGAATAGGTGAACCAATTATGAAGCTTCTTGGTAAGGAATAAATGTCATAATGTGATATCATCGCCACACTCCTGTAATCCAAATGTCTTCTAAAAATGTCTTTAATTAATTCTACAGAGAGAACCTTTAGGTTGAAAAGATCTAGTTTCTTCCTTTCTCTCTCTCCCTCTCTTTTTTTCTAAAGCCATGACAACAGGGCTTTCATGTCCATCAGTAGCTCAGGATAGCAATAATCTTCATTTTCAGAGCTGGGAGGGGGTTGTGACGGCACACAGTCATATCAGCAGAATACCAGCTCATTGGAAGAGTACGCATTACAGGAAAATTAATTTCACGATAAGCTTCTAAGACTTATCCAGCCCTCCTAACATTAACCTGACAGTATAATGGTTGATCTTTTCTCTAAGTATGTTATTAGATGATGTAATTTTTCTTAGATCAAAAGAACTAAAAATAAAAATTGGAAAGGTGGGTTTCATGCTCAAAATCTGGGCTCAGTTTTGGTCCAGGCTTTCTTTGTGCACATCTTATCAGTGTTCTGGCCTCAACACTAATTCTTCTCTGAAAAACAAGGTCTCAGAGTATCCAGGCTGTAGTAGATTCAGTTTATGTGTCAAGAAGAGGCATAATTCACTGGCTTTTCAATATTGCTCAATAATTAAATTACTTGGATTAACCAATGTTCTGTTGTAGTAATAAGATACTTGATGCTGGTAACTTCATAAAATGGTGGTTCATTTTGGGTTGTTATGGACCTGTCCATAACAACCTTGTGCCAGTCTTTCCGTGAAGTTCCACTAGCTTTATGACATCCTGGTAGGAAAGCAGAAAGGGAATGTTCCATACAGATGAAAGGTCCTCATTCGCAATAGTTCACTCTCATGAGAACTAACTCACTCTTTGTGGTTAAGCATTAGTTTCTTCTAAAACCAATGCACCCTCCCCTCCAACCTTGACCATGTCCTAAACACTTTGCATTGGCTATAACTCTTCGTTATACTATCTCACAATATTTCTCCAGAAGACCAAGCTTCCAACAATGACGCCATATCCAAGTCACGTAGGAGCCAAGATATTTATAGCTCTGAAGATTCACAGTAATACTGTCTTTAGGTTCTTCTCATTTTTAGAAGCTTCCCTTACAGTGCAGGCAGGATAACAACACTGTCTCAGTCTCAAGTCCCTCTCTGAAAGTCAGGCAAAGGATTCTCACTTTTAGACCCCTGGGACAGGGCAACAATAGTCATATAGAAAGTACTCCAATGATTAAACCTAAATAAACAGCCACAGCTACACTACATGTTCCAGAGATAAGCAGAGATACACAGGTAGACTTGTGCCTTTTGATATTTTCAATTATACTCAGGCAACATGTTATTACAAACGTAATGGCCCAGTGGGGTTTGATATAAACAAAAGTTATAAATAATTGTTTATTGAAATCAATGCAATAAAGTTTTTATAATCCAGTGATGACCAGTGTCGACATCTCCATTTATGGAGTGATGCATTCTTTTAGAGGGAACCATAAAATCACTACAGTAACTGTTATATGTACATGTCTACACAATTGGCTTCTCAGGCCACAGGTGTGTAGGGCCAGGAGTGGCTAATCCCCCTGGAGCTGGAGTATGTGAACTGTCACCCTGGCTTCTAGGAATCAGACTCTGGTCATCTACAAGCTTAGTCTGCATGCACTCTTAACCACTAAGCCATCTCCCCACCTCTAAACACTGGCTCTTGATACCCTGTCTCCCATACATATACTCAAACATAATTTTTACGTAGATGACTATCTGATAAGTACATTTTAACTAATATTATAAAATTACATATTTATATACGATTATATAAATACAGAAGATATTATCAATATAACTTTCAGTAATATGTGTTTACTTTATTTTATTTTTGCAGCACTAGGAATTAAAACTAGAGTCTCCTACAGACTAGTAAGCACTCTACCCTTGAGATAAAGCAAGCATTATTTTCATTTTTCATTTTCAGATAGGGTCTCACTAGCTTACCAGATAACTATTGTGAAAGGCCTATGCCAAAAGCCCAGCTTGCTCTAATTTCAGATACTCTATATTCAGAAGCAAAGACTTGTTGTTGCTGAAGATATTCAAAAGAATATCTTGTTGCAGAATCCAAGGAACTCTTTTAAGTATTCAAATATCTTGATTTATCAACATATCCACAGCTCCTCTTACTTAGCATGACTACTTTGAGAGGAGAAACACTTATTTCTATGAATAAACAAAATATCCTGAATGATCTGACTACTCTGAAGTGTTTGACACTGTATGTAACAAGACATGCCAACCAGTGAGCAGATAACCCGGAAGAGTAAATGCTGAGAAAATTCAGGGGAAGAATCAGCCCAATAACATATTACATTATTACTCTGAGCCCTTTCCTGAGTTAAGCACTATTTTTCTCCCCACTTTACATTAGATGAAAAGGCAACCAAGGTATGGAGAAACTGACCAGGGACACACAGCCAATTGTGGACAGAGCCAGGCTGTGAATCCCATCAGTGGGTCTCTGGTATTCTTTCCCTCTAGAGCCCCTCTAGTTTTGTATCTTTTTTCTTTCTTTCCATTACCCACCATCATAACACCCCATAACAGAAACCAAAGCAGACCCCTCTTTTGGATCTGCCCAATCTCTCTCCAAGGTATTGTAGAAACAATAAGCAGGGCTTATTGTGCAAGTGTGAGTCCCCGAACCCACATCAAAAATCAAGAATTCAGTGGTTAAGGACACTGGCTGCCCTTGCAGAGGATCCAAGTTTCCTTCATAGCATCCACACCAGATAGCTCACAACAGCCTATAACTCCAGTTCCAGAACATCTAACACTCTCTTCTGGCCTCTGTGAGAACAGGCATGCAAGCGGTGCACAGACATACACCGAGGCACACATACATAAGAAAAAATAAAATAACTTTTTTGTTGTTTGTTTGTTTTCAAGTTAGGGTTTCCCTGTGTAGTCCTGGCTGTCCTAGAACTTGTTTTATAGACCAGGCTGGCCTTGAACTCATAGATCCTCCTGCTTCTGTCTCCTGATTACTGTGATTAGAAGTATGCCCCACCATAGCCCACCTGAAATAAATTCCTTAAAAGAAAAGAAAGCCAGGTATAAGGATGCAATCTTGCAATTTCAGCACGAGAGAGGAAGAGGTGAGAAGACTCCTGAGGCTTGCTGGCCAGCCAGTCTAGCCTATTTGGCAAGCTTAACACCAACAGAGAACTTGTCTCATAAAACAAGATAGACAGAATTTGAGAAACAACACCAGAGGTTTTCCTCTGTCTTCCACATGCAAGCATATGCCTGAACACACACACACACACACACACACAAACACACACACACACAAACACACACACACACACACACACACACGCATACATGCATATACACATGAGAGAGATAGAGAGAAACAAGCCACAAAATGCAAGGAAGAAAATATAACATTTCTAATGACAAGATTACGCTAGAAATCATTTAATGATTCAATAATTTAATTTAATAAAACCTAAATGATGTCTTTTAGAGATTTAAAGAAAAGCGATAGCGGAACACAAAAGTTGAAAACTTCTCTCATATCACTGAGACAGGGACTAGAAAAGCAAGTCAAGATTGAGCTTGACCTGGGACTGTGGGAGCAGCAGGGAGCCTGGCAGCAGCTCTACATGGCTTGAGAAGATGACAGGTAATGTAAATAAGCCACTGAATTGGCAAGGTGTCAGGGACATCTTGAGTGTCCATGACAAAGAATTGTGCTTTCTAGGGGAGCTTTGCAAGTACTTTTATTTTTTTATTTTTCACAGATAAGGAAGGTGAGGCCAACAAAATCCAAAGGTTAACAACTGATGAAGCAAGAACTGATGTTGCTTCTCTTCATTGCAGTCTAAAGCTTGTGCTCTTGAGATTCCAGGCATAGCACAAAAGATCAAGTCCAAAGCATCATCTCAGTCAAGAATGTGGTCTGAGCAGACAAACGGGTCAAACTCTGGGCATCAGGGTCACGAGAAACATCAGCACTGAGCACCACTTGGAGCAGAGGTCACAGGTCAGAGACACTCTGCTTGCTATGTTGGTCTGAGGATCAGATCTGTGCAGCCTGAAAGAACACAACTCTGAGTTCAGTTGTCTGGATGGTCTCACAGAACCAAACAAACTCAACTGCTGCAAAGCCCTTGGGGTGTGAATACATGTACAATCACAGAACAGGAGCCTTGGTAAAACACGAGACTGTAGACTGTCTTTTCAACAGAAAAAGACCAGAAAGTAAATGGAACCCAATTAAATGGGGGTAACCATGGGAGAGAGCCCCAAAAGTAATGGACTTAGTGAGATGAGCTGCAGGAAACAAGATGGTGAACCCTAAGTGATAAGGATGTCGATGAGATGGAAAAACCACCTGCTTTATGTAAAGGTCCAAATAACCAGATCACAGTGGACAGCCACTCGAATAATGTCTTCCTAATGTAGGGCATTATTGGGAATAACTCAATTCACAGGGAGCTTAAGGCAGCCAATGGTTGATAGCCTGTCAGGGAAAACAGAATGGTAATTACAGAAAAGAATCATACAAAACTTAATCAAACTAAGTTTGTAAAGTGTATCTTACAGACACACAGTCTGGACTCCTGCTCTCGAAAACTCCTGTTTCTATTCTATGACAATTTGTTTAGATAATTTAATGATATTTTTCCCTGTTACTTCAAAACTGGATATGCTCTGACTCACAGCATCTGCTTTTCTAAAGAATCTTAAGAAACTCGTGATCACAGCGGATAGAATCATGCAAGACTCCACACAGTTCCAATTATTATTATTTTTAATTAGAGTATGATGTAATGGCTTCTGTGGTCATAGAAAAGCCAAGCTATGACAGATCCTCTGGCAAACCTGAGTTGTTCCAATCAGTGGGACTATCCTTAATCAAACACAAGTAAGTAAAACTGATGATCAAATTTCACTAATCAGTCAGAGACTAAACTAAAACTTCTTACTATGCTACAAACACCTTTAATTGAGATTTTCAAATAGTTTCTGCTGTGGCAATGTCCACCACACTCATGGCCAAGTTGCTCTGCACTTCAACCCTTTTCTAGACTGTGTTCTTTGGAAGCAAGGAACCATGAGCAGCCCACACTTTGTGTGAGAGTCAAAGGGTCATACTCTTACTTCTTTTGGGCAAAATACCACATCTAAACAGAAAAACTCTTTCCTGCCGTTCATGTGATCTTTTTATATCACTGTGGACTTGTGTTTATCTTATACTCAGGGTTGTATTTCAATATTACCACAACAAGGTGAATTTTATTTATAACATATTCAGTATCAGAGCAAAGTAGGTGACTCTCATGAGGACATTGAAGGTAAGGAGCTGGAAATCTGCCAGAGGTATTTAGGGATATGGTCAGAAAACTTTCTATATTTCTAATGTACTGTGGGTTCAAAGTTGAGCATAATTTGATGATTAAGATCCTTGTGATAGGTGCTGGTGATAGGTGTTTTGAAAACAGCTTGTTGCTTCTGCTTTGAGACAAGATCTCACGGTATACCCCAGGCTGGCTTAGAAATTGGGATAATTCTCCCCTCTGCCTCCCAAGGCTGCAATTGCACGTGTAGGCCATAACCTCCAGGAATAACTTCTGATGACGCAACAGGGCCATCACAGAACCTGATACACAGAGTACATATATCTCAAGTCATTGTAAAAACACATTCTCCATTTCTAAACTACTTAGAACAGAAGTCCAGTGTGCTGGCACACACCTGAAATACCAGTATGTGAGAAGTAGAAGCGAGAAGGATCAGCTGTTCAAGGCCAGCCTTTGATGCATAGTAAATCTGAGGGGGAGCCTGGTGGGCTACGTGAGATCCTGTATGCAAGCGCCAAAAATAAATGAATGCAATAATATACAGAAATAGAGAGGAGTCAAAATTGGAGGTGTACGAGTGCAATTGGTGAGGGACGTAACAAGTGCTTTAGGAACCTACTGCGTGCTATTCAGAAGCACAAAGTTAACTGGAGCTATAAACCTGAGACTGGCTAGGCCTAGAGGAAAATCAAATACTACTGCTTAACTAAAGAGACAGAGGAAGAAAATGACTGCTGTCTACATATTGCTATACCCAGAGATCAGCATCTCGTTCAGCCATCATCAGAGAAGCTTCTTGTTGTAGGACATGGGAACTAACGCAAAAGCCCAAAACAGAACAATGTGCAAAGACTGAGAAATTCTGATAAAGTCAGCACAAAATGGGAGGTCTTCATTAAGCCCCTCCCCTCAGGTCTCTGGGAGTTATGGGGAAGAGGAGATGGACAGATTGTAAGAACTAAAGATGGTGGGTGACTCCAAGGGGAAACAGTGTCTTTATCCATAACAGCACTGATGCACATAAGAACTCATGGAGAGAATAGCAGCATGAACAAGGCCTGCACAGATTCAAGCCAGACAGGGTACCAGTGCTGAGAAGGGGAAGTCAATATGAGCTCTTATCCCTAACTAATAAGCTAGTTTCCTCCAATGGTGTCTCACTGGGTAATTAACTACACATAAGCGAGGCCCCATTCCCAGCAGTAGTTACCCAACACAAAATGAACTCGGTGGTAGTTTTGTAAAATTTTTGGTCATACAGTCCTGTGTTTGGATACTTTTTGTCTTATTATTCTTTACCTTGTACATTATGACTTCTAATTTTGTGTTATGGAGTGTGTGAATATGTGTGTGTGTGTGTGTGTGTGTATCTTGTGTTTTTTGCGCTTTGTTTTTCATTTTTAAAATTGTTTTGTTTTGTGTGCCTGTTTATTTTCTAAAGAGACAGAGAAAAAAAGGTGTAGAGTTGGTTGGTAGGGAATGTGGTGAAGATCTGGGAAGTGCTAGGAAGACAAAGAAAAAACTAAATAAAATAAATGCATGCAGACCTCTACCCTCACTCACTCACTCACTCACACATAAATACATACACAGACATTTATTATGTACATACACATATTTATGCATATATATTTTTAATTTTAGCATGATATTTTCAGTTCCATAAAATTTCTGGCAAATTTTACATTTTCATTTTTCTAAGGACTCCATAAGACAGAAAGAAAGAGACTTTATGGGAATGGGTGGGAAGAGTAATAAATATGAATGTGCTGTGTGATATGAAAATAAAGAAATACTAGGGAAGGAAATATATCGTGAGGACCAGGGTTCAAGGAGATAGGAGAAAAGTGTAGGATTAACCAAAGCATAGTATGTATGCAAATACCATAAGGAGATCTATCACTTATATGATAATTTTTTTTAATGAGTAAATAAAAAAAATCAAGTGGCAAATTTCATGTTAGTTATCTCTTAGCACAATGCAAAACCAGTAGCAGGATATATAAATACATGCTGAAATTCTGAAATAAAATGCATTAAAGCATCTTGGCAGAAGTACATAAAACAGACATAAAGATGGAAGAGAGATTTGTTGACGGACCCTGAGAAGACTTGGAGGGGGAAATGAGAGGTGAATAGTCTCAAGGGACACTCTGCACATGTATGAAGTTTTCGAACAATAAATTAATATGCTAGTTCTTCAAAGAACTTAGTATAGACATGGAGGAAACAGCACAGAAAAGAATAAATTTTATTCACTTATTCATCACTTTGACAAATATTTATAGAGTACCTCCTATCTGTCACTGCGCTGGTTAGTTTTGTGTCAACTCGAAACAAGATGGAGTCGTCGAAAAAGAGGGAACCTCAACTGAGAAAATCCTTCCTTAAATACATTTTTGGGTGTTTTCTTGATTAGTGATTGATAGGGGAAAGCCAGGCATATTGTGGGTGGTTCCACCCCTGGGCTGGTGGTACTAAATTCTGTAAGAAGACAGGCTGAGCAAGCCATTAACAGCAAGCCAATAAGCAGTACCCCTCCATGGTTTTTTTCATCAGCTCCTGCTTCCAGGCTCCTGCCTTGTTTGAGTTCCTACCCTGACTTCCTTCAATGGTGGACTATGATGTGAAAATATAAGCCAAATATACCCCTTTCTCCCCAACTTGCTTTTTGTCATGGTGTTTCATCACAGCAATGGTAATCACCCTAACTAAGATGATCAGTAACCATCCCAAGAGCTAGGCAAATCATAATAAAGAAAGCAGCTTGCCAACATGGCTCTTCTGTACTCTAGGAGGAAAGGCATTCATGAAGCAAATGGCAACATTGAAATTTGGTTAGTTAACTTTATCTGTCTTGGTTCCCACATTCCCAGGGCCACAGGATCATATTGGCTGGCTCTTAGGTGACTTATAATCGATACGCTGAGATGAAAGTGTCATTGTGTGCCTGAGGCCATGGACCACTTTGGATAGTTTACACCCAAAAGGTGGTTTATGGGGAAATAACTATTTTCTTATGCCTGAGACTTTGGACCATCGTGGGTCAGTTACATCTCTGGGAATGACTGGCTGAGGAGCTACTGTGCTGTCTATCTGTGCATCTGGCCTCCAATAAAATTGCTGACCACCAAGCTTGCTTGAGTTTCCTTGGTGGCTAACACCTCAAAGGCACACACTTTGCTAAGGAGGGAATGAAGTATGTCCTTGTGACTGCACTGGGACAGGTAACTCTAAGTTGTTGCTCTACTCCACAGCTCCACTTTCGCGCTATGCTTCCCATCTGCTGATCTGCATTTGTGCCCTTTCTATGCAATAAACTGCAGTCATGACCATAACAGTTTTCTTGAGCTCTAATCCTCCCAGAGAATGATCAAGACTAGTGGTAGTCTTGGGATCTCAACACAACACTAACTAAAACTGAAATAATATACTCTGAAGGAGAACACTG